ATCAAAGTACAGTCAGTGAAATGGTTGCAGCTGCAATGCATCCTGGGAGATATTTCTTATACCAGCTTTTGGTGTCTTTCCCAGGAATTGTTCTGCTTACGTGAGCCAAGACCCCAGCCTCTGTTTACCACCCAGTGTTACTGGTCTCACTGTGAAATTCAGATCAATACTCTCATAATAAAAGTTCCAGCCTGGAGCAAATTGGAATCTGAAGCTGAGAAAGATGAAGAGATCTATGGCACTGCCAAAGCTGCACTAATGAATGATGAATCACTGCACCACACACACACACACACACACACACACACACACACACACACACACACACACACACAGTAAACCTGCACAGGTGCTAAACAAAGACAAAAGATGCTGGCAGAGCTCACTGTATGTTCTCCTGTTGTGTCACTTTCAGCGTGAAACATGACTCCCGCATCAATAATGGATGCAGATCTGCACAGTGCTGTCGACAGGGCTTTGCTATAGCGAGGCGACCATATTTACACTATTGGTGAGAAACGTCAGGAGCACTGGATCCATCTCAGCCTGACATCAGAGAAAAACAGATTTTTTAACCCAAAATGTTGTTCATCATCAAAGCTTTTACACCTTTGTGTCCATGTGGATCTCTGTGTAGATGCTTCTGCAGACCTCAGGCAGACACAACTGCACATCGTGCATGTGCACAATGAGTGTGTATGGTTATGCATGTACGTCATTACTGGATGCATATGTGAGCACATTTGTGTCTCTATGAAGGCACGATTACTGCAAATGATGACACGTCAATAATGCTCTAACGTGACAAACAGCAGTAATATAATATAGTGTGTGTTTGTGTTTGTCCCCAGAGGCTGTTTGGGGAAGTGAAGGGTTGAAGTGCTGAGTAAGCGGAGCAGGCAGAGCTGAGAGACTGCAGTGCTGCTGCCTGCAACACTCAGACTGATACTCAGCGGAGGGGGAGGGGGGGGGACTGCGACTCTCAGACATGTTCAGTTTCATTGTACGGCCCCCCCTCACAGACAGAGCTTGTTCCTGACGGTGCTAATGACACATGTAACTCAAAGCCACTCGCACGTGTCTGGTTGTGCAAACCTGCTGCGAGCCGACGCCCTAACAGACGCGCTGCATCGCAGCTTGTTTACTCCTCTAACCTGTGTGCCACTGATTGTGCTAGAAAAGCCCTCATCTCCTCCTCCCGCCCACTCTCATTCCTCCGTCGTGCTCCCTCCCCATCCTCTGAATCACCCTCCGCTGCCCCCCCGTGTGCCTCTGCCTTCCCTTTTCTCGCGGTCACTCCTCGCCTTCCCTCATCTCTCGGGTCTCTTTATGAATGGCACTGCTGGGCTCTCAGTGATATGTTTTCCATCCCCCTGCTCACCGTTCATCGTTACATACATGCGCGCCTTTTCCTGCCTGTCTCACTGCTTCCATCCGCTCCCCTCGTCCCCTCTTTCTCTCCACATCCCTGTCATCGTTGTGCTTATGTATATTTAAACAATCCCGGGCCAGTATTGAGAACCTCCCCCCCCCTCTCTGCTAATATATTTGATTATATAACTCCGTCCCCATGGACCTCGAGGACGCTGCAATCTAATTTTATCAGGTGATGGTGGCGATGATGATGGGAGTGTGCCTCAATGCGACAGAAGCGTCTGTTTCCTATCGCTGCATTCATGTAAACATCCAAAAACAAGCCTCATCCAAACAGGGCTCAGACAGTGTCGGTAAGGTAATCTGGGCAAAGATGACACCAGGAGGACGATGAAGGCGCGCTCCTCATCGTGTTCTGTTCGCTCAATTTAAATCATCTGATTCTGGGTGAAAACCAGGAGCTCGCTGAACACACGGCTGCCATTTTGATGCCTTTCTGTGCTCGAGACACAAGAGCTTGCTCCAAGTTTTCTGTTCGAATAAACAACCAGAGCGCTGCTTTGGAAAACTTGCCAAACAGCGCCATGTGCTGGTGCAAAGATGGAACTGCGCAGGGCTGAAGGACCAAATCACCAGTGAGCTCTGACAGGCTGCGATGAAGACTGTGGTTTGATCTGTTTCCTCTCGCTGCAGGCACAGTTACTGCAGAGCTGGCAGGGTTTGAACCATCTGCACACTTTGATTTCACTCACATACTCTGTATGTTTCTATTCTTGCAGTCGTAGCAAGAGTAGCTTTGCATGATTCACAACTCAAAATAAGTTCTTCTTTGTCGTTGCTGCACCCTCTCAGTTCATCCACTGAAACCACATATTTGTTCTCCTCTTAAACCAGCAAAGACTAATTCATGTAAAAACATGAATATCCCATTTTCTGTAACTGTGACCTCATTTAGCTGCACATCCAATCCCTGAGATATCCCAGAATAAGAACAATAAAGTGCAACTGCAACAATACTCCTTAGCTTCTCTACATGATCAAAAATGCTGCTGTAATAAATGAAAGAAATCTTCGAGCTCTTAAACAGAAATAAATGAGAGAAAAGGTTCCAGGGCTCATTGACAAAGGTGCCATCACCCAATCGAGGGAATATTTTTATACAGAAAATGTCTCATTTTATTCATTTTACTGTGGATACATCGTATAAAAAGAAGATATTTTTGTAGTCGATAGAGAGAAAACAGGAACTTTTCTGTTTTTTAATTGTTTATCTTCATTATTGTGTTATGAACAGCTGTGAGGGAGTCTTTATTAGTAGGACAGCTGTAGGTTTGATGAAAATACAGTTAAAAGTCCACAAACATCCAGTGGGCCGAGTAGGGGGTTTTGCCAGGCTGATTCTGGCCCCCAGGCCTTAGGTTTGACAACCCATCGTTCCCGTCACGCTGTGTCAGAGACGACCACATTGAGCCGTTACAGCAGCATAAATATGAGCAAAACTAAGAAAAAGCAAAATAAATGTTGTTTCATGAAATAAACAAATAAACAGTTTTTTAAAATAACTGATCACATTTGGCCCGTAAAGTTCATCTCATGAAATCTAGAGTTGTTGCCATGACAGCAGAAGAAGCAGTGATGATGATGCGTAGTGTTCAACAACACTGCAGCCAAACACCAGGATGCTCACAGTTCATCCTTCTGAGTCATGCTGTCAAACAACATTATCATTTGACAGTGCAGCTGACCTTTGACCCTGTGGATATAATGTCCATACACCATGTTGCTGCAGTGCTTCCTGAGTTAAAATGTAGTTTATCGGGGCCACAAGCCCTTTGTTCTTTGCCACGTTACTGTGCTGTCTGCGTTTAATCACCTGGCTGTGATAAATGTGCCCGAGACTAATTTCCCCAAAAGGAAACAATAAAAATAAATTGATTATGTCCAATCGGTTCATCGTTGAGTCCAAGTGGATGCTTGTGCCTCCTTAAAAAAGAAAAAAATACTCTTAAGGCAATCCTGAGTTATAACATCGATGATTAGAGACGCACAACCTGGAAACTTGTGAGCACGTCTGTCACGGGCACAGAGCCATGATGAGAGCAGCAGGAACCTGATGCGATGGAAGGAAACGTTATTCAAAGCACGATGTCCAACAAGAAAAAAGAAGCCATGTGGAAAAGATGAAACATCCACAATTATGATAAGTGGCCAGTTTCAGTCCAAGATGTCCGCCTCTGTGTGACCTCGCTGCCTGTTACTCTGCGCTGCCTGTCAGCTCCAGCATCGTGCCCTGGAGGTCGTGGCTGAAAGGCATCAGGAGGTCGTCAAAGTCCACCTCGAGGGATGGGTGCTTATTCCTTCTCTCTATCTTTGACATCAGCTGGCTGCTGGTGGGCGGCTTCCCCCAAACCTGAGACAAAAACAGTCACAGTGAGAAGTGCAATTACACAGTCACTTCCTCAGGAACATCTGTGCACTAACGGGCTTAATGCAGGGTCGGTTTGTGCACGTTGTGACTGCTGCAATTAGCCGGCAGCAGAAGACACATTAAACGGTGGAGAGGCTCACCGTCTTTGGCACAAAGGTGATGTCCACGATGTTGGTTTTCCCAGTCGTGATGCTGGCGTTCTGCAGGACGACACTATTTGAATCCTTCTGGGGCGGAGTCTTCTCTGCTGCTGCCGACGATGTCTCTGCTTGCACAGCGACTTTTGCAGAAGCAACCTGTAGTGAATACCAAGACTTTCAAAGCTTCTGCAGCCTCTGCATGCTCGCTGTGTTCAACACAACGTGTCAGATTCAGGCTGGTTAAAGGCAGCTAGAGATTAGGTCGCTAACGATAAACGGTTATGTTTGAGGATTAAAGCTTGATGGGTTTCAGTAGCAGAGGCAGGATGAAGAGTAATCCAAAGATTTAGCTGTTGCACCGAGGAAACAGAAGTACTCTGTTAAAGACAGCTGATGTTTACTTTGGGCTGATAAAACCTGGTGAAGGAATCTGTCTCAAGCTAAAGACGAGCATCAGTAACAAAACTTATTTTGTAAATAAATGTGCTACACAAAGTATTTGCCCCGTTCCTGATTTCTGAGTTTTTTGCATATACGTCACACTTACATGGCTCGGATGTTTCAGAGGAGAAACAAAGTCACTGACATCCGTCTTGAGAAGCTTACAAAGCCACCTGTAAGGCTTTGGGACTCCAGCGAACCGCGATGAGAACCACTGTACACAAATGGAGAACCTTCCCCGGAGTGGGCGGCGTTCCAAAATGACTCCAAAAACACATCAACGACTCATCCAGGAGGTCACAAAAGAACCCCGAACAACAGAGAACTGCAGGCCTCACTTGTGTGTGTCAGAGGTCAGAGTTCATGATTCAACAGTAAGAAGGAGACTGGGTTTGAGGAGAAAACCACTGCTGACCACAGAGAACACAAAGGCTCATATCTACCAAAAACACTGTGATGAAGCTGTTGGGATAATACTCTGTGGACCGACGAGGCAAAGCTCTCGTCTGAGTCTGTTACATAAAACTAGCAAACAACTGTCAAACCTGCTGAATTCAGCAGAAAACCCTGAAGAATCTGGCCATCGGTTCGTGCACTTGGCTTCTGCAGCAACGATCTGACACACACCAGCACGTTGGTAATTCATGTTCAAAAACCCTCCACTGTGGCTGAATTCAAACAATTCTACAAAGAAGACTGTTGCTCCACAGTGAAGGATCCACAGTGAAGGATCCACAGTGAAGGATCCACAGTGAAGGATCCACAGTGAAGGATCCACAGTGAAGGATCCACTGCTCGTAATCACTGACTGCAGTTGTTTTTTTCCACACAGCTCCACGTAGGCTGGATCATTTAGTTCCCTGATAAATGAATATTTACTCAGGTTATCGTCGTCTAATATTAACATTTGTTTGCTGATCTGAAAACATGTTATTGTGACAAATAAGAAATCAGGAAAAGGCAAAAAATTATTCACAAAACTGTGAACTTCACTATGTGACTTCCTGTTTGCATCATTGCTACCTGCTGCTGATGTGATCCTGCCTCTGGATGGTACCAGGTTAGACTGAAGGTCCTGTGAAGCTGCAGATGGAGATCATCCAGGCCTGCTTTCAGCAATTTGCATCAATTCGAGTGTTTCTTTTTGTCGGCCATCATCGTCAGGTGTTCGGCCTATCAGCTTCCACCGCTGTGTCAGCGTGTCATCGCAATAATGAATGTTTATCACTGGCATACGCAGGACAGGAGAAACTGTCTGCCGGCTGCAGGATGTGAAACTTGAGCTTTGCTGTCATCTGATTGGCCAGGACTGTGGCTAAGCTTGATATTGA